TTTAGGGTCTGGAAATATTAGTATTGTGACGTAGACATGCTGAACAGTGTGAGAACACTCAAGAACCTGCTAGGCCCACCCAGGTGACTAAGGGTCCTGTGTTTCTTTCGTGTGGCGCCTCACTCCTCTCGATGGTAGCTTGATGTTCGAAGCATCAAAAAGGTCATTGACCATCTTAGTGAATATTTCAGTGCCTTCAGAGTTTTCCATGCCGGGCACTTTGGCTTTTTTGTACAGCTTGATGCCAACTGCTGTGCAATGGCTGAAGAGCTGTTAAAGAAGCGCATTTGTGTTCAGAATTATTAACACGAACTGCGTGCAATGAGTAACAGACATAGACTATAGTAGGCAAATACCTGGGTGGCAAGCCTGACACTCATCTTCTGAAGGCTTGCGTCAGTTTTGGCACGACTCGTAGGTGTTTATCTTTTTCTGTGTCAAACAGCATGACATAGTGGCCAAAGTTAATCTCATGATCACCTGCCCGGAAATAGAAAGTGAAAGATTAAAATCTAATTCAAAACATTTAGTTTAGTTTTTTTCTTACCAGTCTATAAGTACGCTTCTTCAGATGATTTCTGATGCATTTTATGATGTGTGGGACATCACAAATAAAATAGATCCTCTGAGAAGACTTTCTAGAGTGTTCTATATGATGGCATGGACAGTTCAGCTTCCTCAATATACCTAGCTGGGTCCACATTGGGCAGTTGTTCCCAGCTCTGTCACTTATGATAGCAAGCACTGAAGAATTGGTTTTGTGCTGTTTAAGCACAGCACTCAGCACGACTTTAGAAAGAACCTTCTTAGCAGTTGCTCCTTTTGTTGCGAAGCTTGCTATTGGCGGCACCCAGTCCTCAAATAGTGGCGCAAACATGAGAGCTGGTCTATGATCGGCGAGTTTATCTGTGGCTGGGGATGCTACGTCACCATAGCCGACGAACCCGTCCATTTTGCAGAACATCTTATGGAAAGCAGCAGACTGCTTGAGCTTTACCTCATCGACAAGTGGGATGCCACTTCTTTTCATGTGGCTCTTGCTCTGAAAGTGCTCCTTAATGGTACTTAGCTCAGCTTAATTGTACTCGTGTTTGCATGGAATACCACTGATGATTTGATGAAAGCGGGCTTGCGGAAGCGGCAACAGCTGCATGTCTCAAACGAGAGTATCAGTTTTTGGGCTAAAAATTTGCAGTAAAAAGCACGTCATCAGCCATTCATCGTCATAACGCCTTCCATTTTTTATCTTGGCTTCTGCTGCCATTAAGGCCGCTTTGAATGCCAGTTGCTGCTTTTCAGGGAGAACATGAAGCATATTTTTAATATTAGGTGCAATCACGTTACAAAATTGTTTTTCATAGCAGTCATCTTTTTGTTCAGCTTTTGTGTAGACAGTTGATGGGAGCTTTCTGTGTAGACAGTTGATGGTGCAAGCCACCCATTTGCAGTGACTGACAAACGAAAATCACTTGAGAACGTCGCAGCCTTAGGGACTCAAGGGACTGTGTTTTGTACTTCGAGGTTGTACCGGACGACAGTAAAACCAAGAAGTTCGGTCGACCAGCATTGCACCTGCCGTCTCTCGTGTGCCATTGTCGACAGCTCCTCTAACAGGGACTGGGTGCTATCGAGTGCGACACTGCCTGCCACAAAGCAGCCTCTCTTCCTATAATCGAAGGTGCTCGGTGCTATGCTATCTTGTTTGGCGGCGTCCTGAACATTCCGACGTTTCGGTTGGAGAGGTGGCCTTACAGCAAGTGCTTTGCGTTTCTGCACATGCTTTTACAGATATTTTGGACAGTTGGGTAACAAGCGAGGTAGAGCATCATCCTTGAGGCTTCATTTGTCTCGTGGTATGACGACAACGTGACCGCCTTTCTTGTACACGAAGTTTTTCACAATGTCTTCTTCCTGAAAGTGAAGGTCACACACGACGCATTTGTCACTTCTTAGAATCGTGCATTGCAATTCTTAAAGTCGCAAGGCATTGTTAGACGGTTTCGAAGAGTGCCTCTTCTCAGCTTCACCCCTCGTAGAGTCGTAGCCGCTTTTGCAGCCGGTCAAAAGCACGCGGCAGTAGTTCTCACTACACAGGCACAGCAGCCATTGACATCCTAAGGCTATGCACGAGAAATCAAAGCAAACACCTGCATGATAACAAAACCAAAACGGCGCAGTCGTCTTTAGCAACGTTGGCCATGCAGTCCAGCTTCTCCGTGGTCTCACCTCTCACTGAGTCATGCAAACTGAGAACTGAGTCGCGTGCCCCCCCCCCCCCCCTGATTCTCAATGGAAAGGCGTCACGCACAGCAGCGGAGTTTGAGAACTGAACTGAAAAAAAGATCTACTTATGTTAGGGTGATTAGACCTTCAAGCCCCTCCTCTCTTCCTTGGCAGAGGACAACAACCCCTTCAGCCTCAGCTTCACGAAGACTGCACGCCTAGGCTGACCCACCCAGGGGAAATCTATAGTCACCTTTTGCTATCTCTTTTTCTCCCTGTACTTTCGTCTTCATTTTTCACTCTTTATCTCTCCTGTCATCTACTCTTTTTTTTTACTTCCAAATTTCCTGGTGGCAAGGGTTTACCGTGTGTTGTTATCCAAACTAGGGCAGTTACATTTGGTTATAGCGGCCATGTATGGCTGACGATCTCAAGTGTTCTAGATTGTCACGTCCCCTTGTTGGGCTCCGTGGTTGGTGGCCACCATCGCCGCCGAACTCCAAAACTTTTTACGGCAAACTCTTTTCCCGCCTTACCTGATCACCCCCCAAAAAGGTGGCGCACCGGCGAAAACTTGACCAAAAAATTTTTCCCCTAGTACCACGTCATCCATAGCCGACATGAAACAAAAGTTGATCGAAATATTTCACCATATTTCGTATAAAACTCTCACAGAAGCTTTAGCCCAGGTTATAAGGCAACAAAGATTGGAAGCGGCGATCTTCTGCTCGAAGTTCGTGACAAGAGCCACTATGACAAGCTCTTGAAATTCGTAGCGTTTGGCAATATACCAGTATTGGTGGGCCCACGATCAACACGGTGCGTGGATCTCGAGTCATCTCTGGCGATGACCTTGCATTCCCTGCAGCCTGTAAGATTTGGGCCACCTCACAACGCACTCTGGCACATGCACATGATGCTCAACTTCGTCCGTCGGGCCCGAGACCACAGGCACTCCACAGCCACGGCACTTCGCCTTCTCCTCCTCACTGCTAAGGCAGCTGAATTCATGCTGTCAAAAAGCACCACTTCAACCTAGGTGGTCTTAATCCGCTTCACCTCCTAGACTACTGGGTTCCGACAAGTAACAACCATGCGCGTAAGTGCCTCATCATCAATCGATGGGTCACTGTTGCGAACAACCCCTTTACAGGTGTTCTCTGGGGTCGCGACATGCGCAGACATCGCAAACGACCCCATTCGAATGTAAATCTGGCGGACCTGCTCATACGTCTTCGCATTGAACTCGTGCGCGGTAGAAACAAGTGATTTCCTGCACCTTATGGTGTACACTGCATCTTCCTCCGTCTGATCCTCTGTCTGGCCTACTGCCATAGATAGAGCTTAAGCTAGGAGAACAATGTCCGCCTTCGCCACATTAAGCCTGCCTCGCGGGCGGACTATAATCTTAATATAATTCCTTAAAAGTCTCGACATTCATAGAAATTGTGCAGCCCACCTCGAGCCTCGTCGCACTGCATCTTGCACCTTGCCAGAGTCGGCCAACGCCACTCTCCATTGTCTTTGCTGCACCATAGTAACTGCCGCCACTCGACGATCCGTGTCTCGCATCACCTTTTCGGGCACGAAATGCCGCAGTCCACGCGGCATTTTCCAGCTCTCCAGGACTCGCGTCCATCCCTTTCATTTCTACAGTCGCAGGCAAATTACTATTGCCTCCCTCAATCAGAAAAACGAAGGTGACCGCGAAATTAGGTCGATGCCTCACTCTCACTGCCTACCCAAGAAAATAGGCTTAGTACGTTAGGCCAAGCACCTATGGACGTGGCCAAATGTTCAAAGTTCCGGGAAAAGGGTCAAAAATGCACCCACTGGCATAAACATGATATCGCCAGAATCCGTGCATCTTGCTACTTTAGAACAATTTTCTAAGGTTTCAACGGCAAAAAATAAAAAACTATTCAAATAGCAAGAGCCAACGTGAGCCTGTCTGCACTGACCACGTCCCCTGACGATCTCCCTTAACGATGCATACTTTGTTTTTACAAATCTGTCTGTGCTTAATGTTTTGTAGATATGTTAACGCAATGTTCAGTAGGGGACTTGGTATTGCAAGATGTAAATTATGATTCGTAAGTGACTGTGTAAGTGACCTAACAATATCGGGTGAATAAGTGACACTGTATTCCTAGGTATCACCAAATTTTTATTCAAGCAGTTTAGAGACATTTGCACGAAAGGTGTATTACTGTGATGCAAACATAATTAAACATTTTTTTCTGTAATGTGCATCAATGCTATTGTAGTTGGCATCTCCTACAACCATATTTTCGTTGAAGCATTTGTAAATATTTCCCCTTGTATGTTTTTTAAGTGCAATTGATAAAAGATTTCTTCATGCCTAATTTGTTTTATATGCCTGATGTGTTGAATATGAAATTGTTTTTTGACTGCGCACTGTTTTCTAGGTACGGTACTTATATACATACGATAGTACAGTAAGCATTTTAGTGTATTTATGGTGTGTCTTCACAACATTGAACTCTCAATATATCAACAGAGTGACATATAATTCATATTCTATTTTTTGGCAACCAAGTGTATGCATGTGTGTACAACAGGATGATAATATTGGTTAAATGGCTTTGATCAATGCAGTGGTCCATAACGGTAGCTTTCATTTTGGTTAAACAGTGTTTGTCTGCTTCGTTTAGATGTGTAGCTACCATAGTGGATTGCCCCAGCTGAAGTCCAGTTCCGCATAATGTGTGACGTGTAATTTGCATTGCCTTAGTGTGCTTTGGGTGGCTTTGCAGGTTCTTTCTCTGGTGCATCTGTGGGACAGTCTTCATCGGTGTCTGTACGAGGTCGACTGCATTCCTGCCAAAAGTGCACCTATGCGACACGTCTTAAGTCACATATGACCAGACCAAACACCTTCGGACACACATGCGTGAACGCCCTTTGCAGGGCCACTTGAGCTCTGATGCATTCACTGAGGAGTCCAAGCTGGTGGCTCACGTGCGCGCTCACTCAGGAGGGCCTTTGTTTTTCGTGTGTCCACTGCAATATGTCGTTCACAAAAAAAATATGCCCACGATATCCACATACTCAGACACGCGGGATATCGTCCCTTTGCTTGTGCTCGCTGCAATCCATCATTTTTGCGGAAATGCTACCTAAAACCACATGCGCACTCACACTGGAGAGCATCCATTTTGCAGTGTGCACTGTGATTCACTGTTCTCGCAGAAAAATCTCCTCGATGACCATATGCGCGCTCACACAGGAGAGCGCCCCTTTACCTGCATCCACTGCAATGCATTCTTTTCGCGGAAAAACTGTTTCAGGGACCACATGCGCAGACACGCGAGAGATTGTCCCTTTTCTTGTGTCTGCTGCAATGCATCCTTTTTATGGAAACCGAGCTTAATGTAACACATCCACACTCATACAGGAGAGCATCCCTTCTTCTGTGTACACTGCAATGCACCCTTTCCACGGAAAGACAGCCTCTCGGTGCACAACCGCACTGACTCAAGAAAGCGTCGTTTGCTTGCTTGCTTGCTTGATCCTTTCTTTTGTGGCTCTCACCCACTAAGGGGGATTGGCCAAGAAGCCGGTGGTTAATGCAAGTCAATACATTTAGCTTATCCAGGCTAGGAAAATAGGATTACTTTGATTTGACTTGGTGGGATTAATTTAGCACAATGTGGAAAAAAAGAGAAAGAAAAGAAATAAGAGAATTTGTTGAATATCTGAGGTGTAATTGTTATATGAAATTTTTCTGAAGGGTAAATCATTACGGTATAATAGCTAAACAATAAATGTTAGGTTGGCTAGTAAAAATCGAGGGCTGATCAATGGCTCAGCAAGGTAATCTTCTTGTCTTGCATAGAAATTCACATAGACACAGGAAGATGTTCCTGTCGCTGTGTCCCAATGAAGCAGCCCCAAAAGACAAAGTATTAGGAGTAGTAAGTGATATTCCTATTTTTTAAATAAAATTTCAAAACAATTTTTTTTTATTTTTGAAAGGGTGACATGTAAGAAGAAAATGGTCAATATGTTTGGGTTCATTACAGCTTGAGCTCGGAGGGGATGGCACCAGACCAGACCTGTTCAAGCAGAAATTAAGATGTGGTACACGGCAACGTAATTTTGTTATAGAGACTTCCAATTTACGCATGGGACACCATTTATCATTTCATGCGAAGTGCAGGTGTGAGAAATCTAGACTTGGTATTGTAACTTTTGATAAGTCTTCAAGAAGGGAAAGTTTTTTGAACCTCGCGGCTATTACATAAACTGTAAGAGACATGATTGGCACAATGGGAAGATCAGAGGATGCTCATACGAGTGTGTCAGTATTCTCATTTATAGGTATACTACGATGGTGCCCATATCATTCGCACTATACGAATGTTTGCTGGAATTAGTGATTTAAAAGTTTCTAGTACTGCTGATGCCGACGACGATGATAAAAATTAATGATGGTTCAGCGAACTGGGAGCGCGGGGGTAAACACAGACACAAAGCAAAGAAGAGGCACACAGCATGGACGCTCAACTAACAACTGGTTTATTCTCATGTTTGAAGGACATATAAGTACACAAGGGTGCGCATGTCATCAGAAATAAGATGATAGTGTGAACAGCAAGCGTGGCGTTCATTCGAAGCACTTGTCTACGAATTATCAGTATAGTTAAACTCACAGTCAAGTAGTGATAATGATGGATGGCTAATACAATGATTCTTATTTCTAGAAATGTGATATGCTTCGGAAATTTCACGCGTGGTTTGAAGCGGATGCCGGAAAAGTACACTTGTTTTTTCAAACAACGGTTGACACTTGCAGGAATTGCAATGTGAAGCTAAAACGGAAAAAAGAGTATTTCTCAAGGAACTCAAATGCTCCCTGAGGCGTATGTTCAAACATCGCCCGGTCTGGCCGATGTACACGCGACCGCACGTTAGCGGTATGCTATACGCCACTCCTAAAAAACACTTAACCAATTGTTTTGCATGTTTCTGCGAACATCCTCCATTTTTTTTACGTGCCCTGCGTCTTCCTATGCACCATGGCACAAATACGGCCTAATTTAGAGGGTGCAGAGAAAACAACGCACACACCAAACCTGTTCCCCACGCTTTTCAATCCATGCACCAATTTATGAGTGTAAGGGGTGACGGTCACGCGTTTGTTTCCTTTATTGCAGTCTGTAGAAACACACGCACGTTTATCACCATTTCTCACCATCCGCAGAAGTCTCTCACACAGCGATGTGATTAGATATGGCGGGTACCCAGCCTCGAATAACCGTCCTAGCTGCGCTAAGAAACCATAGCGCACCATGTGGATACAGCTTTTTTCAAGGGCTGAACGAAGGCATGACTGAACAATTCCTCATTTTTATAAGCTTGGAATGGCCGGATGAGTATTTAAAACAGGATTTGCGGATCGAGGGTTATATTGCCAGCAAATATGATTGCTTCCAAAGAATAGAGAAAGGTCTAGAAATTGCAATTTATGATTACTCGGAACCTCCGAGGTAAACCGGAGGCCCACGCCCTCCGTCTCGGAGCATGCCAAAATAGCGTCATAGTTCACTGCAGAGCATTTCTTTATAAAAATCAAGTAATCGTCAACGTGTCTGAAGATTTTGATGCCAGACTGTAGTTTATTGCTTAGGGCGGTGTCCACCTTTCCTAGGAAAATGTTGCTCAATGCAGGAGCCACACTGAACCTATACACACACCCGATTTCTGCATGTACAGGTTTCCAAGCCATACGATGAAGGTCGATTTTAGGTAAAATGTCAAAATTTCTAAAAAGGACTCAGTTGACACTCCTGTATGATTCCTGAATGATAGTTCGTCATTGTCTTCCACATTGCACTGCTCAACGCAGTTTAGCAACCGATCTTGCGGCAAAGAATAATATAGGTCGACTACATCAAAACTAAACGCTGTTACCTCTGAAAACTCACTGGTGTTTAAGTATTCAACCAAAACATCGGAGTTTTTAACGTAGAAAGGGTCGTTCACATGCAACACAGATAAATGCTTCTGCAGATATTTCGACACCAGCTGCCACGAGTCCCTCTCCGAGATAATTGCACGTAACGGCATTTCTGGTTTGTGCGTCTTTACGGAAAAAAAGATTTCCAACTCTGCAGAATTGGCCTTTGCCACAGAAGAGCCGAGCTTTTCCAGGTTCACTCTATTTAACAGCGAGATTGCTCTGGCTTTCACGGCATTGCTTTTTACAGAAACGGGTTTGAAATTTCGTTCCAATGCTTCCTCGGCCTTGTTGAGGAAATCTTGTTCACTAATAACGACGAAGAACCTTTTCTTGTCAGAAACAAGTACCTTTAGCTGCCTTTTCAGTCAAAAGTCTACGACAGGTTCCACATGCAAAGTTCTACTAGAGTTAACAGCATTCCTCGAAACAACATGAACACTTTCCGTTGCACACCTATGTCGTTCTTCCTCTTTGGCTAGCTTGGAGACAGCCCTTGTTGTAGCAATTTTTTCTTCTGGGCGCAGGTTTGGTTCCATGGCGAACTTCGGGCCTTTTTGCAGAATGTGCTGAATTTTTTCCGGCAGGTTGACACCACTCAGGTTCATGAAACGCCCCTCACGTGAAGCTTGTTTTTTCTTGATGGGAAGTTGTGGCCTGATGCAGTTCCACAAGGTTTCTGTCGCATTTCTCGCTGTCTTGCACCACTCGACATAGGTACCGCAGTTTCTGAGATGATCATTCTGGTCACGAATGACCCGGTGGCTACGGGTCACAAATGACTCGTAGCCACCGGACTTGTCTATACCATTCGGAGCGGAGAATTCGGCATATCCTTTTAGTATGACCAGAAGATGGGCTCATCCATCCAAAAAGCACCTGTACATCGGTGGGACAAGTTCCTTGACGAAGATGCCACGATGCTACTCTTGCACGACATGTTGAGACAGCTATCCATGATGCAAAAATAGCGGGGTCTTGAAGAGAGGAATAAAAACAGTTAAAAGCGCTCATGTGAGCGCTCATGCTGTGAGCGCTCATGCTATGTGCCTCTTCTTGCTTTGTGTCTGTGTTTACCCCCGCGCTCCCAGTTTGCTGAACCATCATGAATTACCAACTAGCCCACCTTTCCATCCTGTTGCGAGATAAAAATTAACACACAGAATATGAGTCAGTCACTATCACAGCTGTCAAATGAGTCGCAGGAAGTTTATGAAGAGCTAGCATAACGGCCGTTAATTCCGCTTCAACAATTGGTGTATAATCTGGGAGGTGTAATGAAAAGGACCAGAATAATAAAGAAAAAAACCCACATCTGCCTTCTCGCCACTCATAGATGCATCCGTTGCAATTACTATATTAGTACCTAATTGAGACAGGTGTTCTTCTAATCAGCCAATCAAATATTTAGAGGGCAACTGTTTAGTGTTCATTGGGAAGATATCAAATTCTATTTGCACTTGGCCGATTGGTTTGTCAGATGATATGATCTCGAATATATTAGCATTTAAAGCATCTAGAAGTGTTTGAACAAATTGCACTTGGGGTTTATGTACACGGGACCAATGCTCATTGAAAAAGATACGGGGCTCGACGAAGAATAAAAACTGTTGCCTTCTTAAAGTGGATTCAGAAAATTTTAAATAGGTTTTAACTGTTAAAATACGGAATCTGCAAGCAAGAGTGGGTATCCGAGCTTCTTGATACAAAACATTGTTAGCCGTGAATTTTGGCACACCTAAACAACTTCGAAGAGCTTCCCGCTCTAAGAGAATCAAGGGGTTTATTTTGTGTGCTGGTCCACCAGAGAATAGTACACATCTGAGTTCAAGAATCAGACGAACGTACATGCGATAAATCATGATCAGCGTATCTTTGTGAAGACCGGAACGGAGCCGGCCAAGCCTACCAATCATCCGAACAGCGCGTGTAGCCTTAATTTTAATATGTTCAATGTGATCACGCCAGCTCAGTTTTTGATCGTACAATACACCCAGATATTTAATACAGTTAACTTGGGGAATTATTTATTGAT